TATATATATAAATATATATTTTTCCTTTAATCTTGGGCATTTTGTTTCTCTTTCTGAGACCATAACTTGAAAAAAAGAAAAAGATAAAACACTACAAGAGCCAATACTCATATAAAAAGAAATTGTATCCCTTAAAAGCTGTACAGTTTTATATACATTAACAATGTACTTTTTGCTGCCTTCTAGATAATTTATTTTGCAACACATTACTGCACAGTTGTAAATAACTTATGTACTGTAACATCACTTTCAGTCATGTGTAAAGAAATAAATTAATTAATTAAAATGATCTTTGTACGTATAGTTCACCCAAGGCAGCACTCCCCCCCTTCTGCCTGGTGCTTCTCACTCGGCCCGACCCATGGGCCAGACGGGGTCCTCCTGCCTGCGCAGTGGGGCTAGCGATCCATCCCCCAGGCAGGCCGTGTGCTCACGTTTGCACGCCACCCCTTTTCCTTTCCTTCCTCCCTTGTCAGGGTTAAATTGAGCCATGCCCTGGGCCTTCTCTGCGCAAGGCTTGACATCTCACAACCGACTGACTTTGGAAGCACTTCATGCTCCACTTTGGGGCCTGAGGAACCGGGCGGCTGCTCTTTGCACATGTGGGCAGAAAAAGACCTTCCATGGGAAGGTCTAGACTGAACAAGGCCCCAGTGGACCAAGAGGATGGGGATGGAAGAGGGGCCGCAGCGGCGGCCGTTTTTGAAGCCCAAGCTGCTCGCTGTAGAGAGAGTGTCTGCAAGACAGCAAGGAGAGCCACTGGTCCAACTTTTCTCAGGTTCCAAGTTGTGGATTATCTAGTAGAATTTTGTAACCGGGAAGTTCAGAACAGAGTTGGACTGGATTAGTCATCCCCTTAAGAGGCTCTCTGGTTGTGAACAGGGAGCACGGCTTGCTGTTGAGAGTGTGATGGGGCAAGAATGTTCCTGAGACAAGCAAGGAGGTAACTGGGTGAAAAAGGAGCATCCTGTTTTCCAAAGCTTTTGCCAGTGGTACTTTTCTGGTTATGTACGCTAGGAATGTTCAGTTCTGTGATTGCTTTCTGACGTAACCCTCGCAGAAATCTCTTGCAAGTGGCTGCTTCCAGACCTGAACATGTGGATTGACAGCCCTGAGTCTTGGGGAGCTGGTAGCTAGGAAAGAATGGAGAAAACACCCTCCCAGAGAGACTTGATGCAGAAGTAAATTTATGAAGGCAAATGTGGACCTGTCACTCTGCAGCTTACGGAGAGATTTATTCCTGAATCTGCACCATTTTGGCAACATGCATATAGAATTCAGAATGTATGACTGGCACAGTTGCATTTTTGTGCTAGCAAAGAGGATCTTCACTGCCCCACAGTTCAGATTATGCGCTGTTGTACATAAGGTAAAAGTAGTGAGATTATGGCGGGGGCAGAGTCTGAGTGAGCGTAGCAAGGAAAACATTGGGGCTCCTGCCTGCCCCGGAAGGATTTGACTCAGATCTCTGTTCCTCTTCCTGAAGGATAGCATTCTTTGAGAGGCCTTGCTGTTTTGCATCTCCTGTGACTGGAGGAGGCTCGTTGCTTGGGCAGAGAGTGATGCCAGGTCATTGCCCACCTCCCAAACTTTGAACCAACAGAAGCCCTTCTCTAAGGCAGACTGGTAGAAGTCCTGCATTGTGGGGAGCTGGCAACACCCAGCCTTTGCCATGAGACCCAGGACACTGGCAGACGATGCATCTCTCTTACAAGCCATTTCTCCAGGGCCTGATCAGCCAGTCCACCTCTTAAAGGCTGGCCCGCCAGGAGGGAGGGTCCTGCTTTCAATTCCGTTCCATGCCAGCTGCTCCACTGGTACATCTCTCCTGTCTGGCATGGATTGCTAGCTGGCATGTTTGTGCCTATAAAGCGCCACCAAATGCACGTGGGGGTGGGGGTGGGGAGAACAGATAACAAGCCATTGGTTCCTAGTGTCCAGTGCCAGGAAAAGTTTCTTTTGGAATGCAGTGCAGAGAGGAAAACCTTCTCTGCCTAAAGATGTGTAGGATTTTTAATAGACAGAGCCTTTATGGAATAGGGCTTCTGTGTGGGAGGTGGTAGGGCGTGGCTTCCACTTCCATCCTCTTCTATGAACATGGATGGAGCCAACATCTGGTTGAAAATGTGGTTCTTCCACTTTGGTTAACCAGGGAAGTGTAAACGCTTGCTCCCCACTGGCATGGCACTTTTGAGTGGGGCTGGCAGCACTTAAAGCTGCTTGTCTTGGCCACCTCCAGCTCTCTTCTTGTGGCTGATCAACTCCAAGGCCATGTCCAAGGCCAGCTGCCCAGAGCAGCTTCTGAGGGAACCTGCACACGCAGGAGGATTTCCCTGGAAGTGTTTGAGCCCCAGTCCTCTAGAAGCCTTTTTACTGCAGGGAATGCATCTTACCG